TTCAAGTTAAAAAAAAAACAAACTAGTCTTTTTCCAGCTATGTATTGTAATGTATAAAGCTGGAAAGGGCATTACTTTTATCCTTACAACAACTACATGCTGAACCATCTGCAAATCACTTTTCCTGAACCTATCAGAAAGCAGAAGTTGAAGGGCAATCAACTAACCTATAGTCTAAAACAGGTACCTCCAAGGACAGAGAGTAAAGAAGGATGCAAGTACTTCTTAAAAATTTTAAAATTTACCTGGGGCACGTACTGCAGAAACCATTAACGAAAAATTTTAACAGATTTCTAATGGCTAATAGTGGACTAGCAAAAACTGGGAACTATCAGAAGCTGCAGACAGGGAAAATTTTACACCCATTTGCAGGGTCATCTCCATGGACTTCACTTGGGGTGCACAAAAAACTGGGGCAGAATGAGAGCCCTGAAGAAGCATCGGTTCTGATGCAGGCCTGGGGGAAGGGGACAGCTGCTGTCCTAAAGGCATAAAGCATTCTCTAGATCCTTTTTACCCTCTTTCCTACAGAATAAAAGCCTTAAACTTCTGGTTGAAGGGCAACAAACCCCACTGTCCTTAGGAGCACCGGTGAAGACTCATTGCCTGTGGGGGAAGGAAACAGAAAAAAAACCCTCTATACCTGAAGGAAGAACATGAGTACACTGTTGGCCCAGATCTACAGCTGAGGGTGGTGTAGAACCACTGAATAGGCTCCATTCCTAAGATTCAGGGACACAGAGCTTACCTAAGAGTGATGCTTAATCAGAAGAGCAGAGAATTCCCTCTTCTGAACCAGGTTAGTAAGCATCTAGTACCAAATAATAGCAGTCAGCAGTCTACTGCTGGGAGAGGAGCAAGAGCATGAAAAGAGACCTGCTCTGAAGCACAGCACAAAGGAAAGACCTAAAGCTGAAGGTGCAACAGACACTGAGAAAAAAGGCAAACCGGCTCCCATTCTGAACACAAGCTATAGGAATCTGAAGCTTTCGGTGTACTGAGGTTAACTATAGCAACAAATCTCAAATCCAACTCAACTACTAAATATAAACTGAATCAAACATACATTAAGGGCCTAGCAGAAGTAATTATGTACCCATTCTCAGATTTTAAAACTCTTTACCTAAGTCTTTACTGTCCTATGTAAGGTATCTGGCTTTCAAAAAAATTATGAGGCACACTGTCAAGAGGCAAAAAAAAAAACCCCAAGAAAACAGACTCAGATGTGACAAAGATGCCGGAGCTAACACAGAATATCTAAAATAATTAAAATTGTTAAATGTTAAAGGTTCTGGAGGAAGCTCACCACTCATTTTCAAAATCATATTGGAAGTCCTAGTCAATAAGAAAAGAAAAGAAAAAATATACAAATTGGGAAGGGAGAAATAAAACTGTCATTGTTTACAGATGACATGACTGTCTATAGAAAATCCAAAACAATCAATGACGACAAAAAACTCCTGTAACTAATAAGTGATTATAGAAAGGTTGCAGTATTCAAGGTTAATATACAAAAGTCGATCACTTTCCTATATACTAGCAATGAACAAACAGAATTGAAAATTAAAATACATTATCATTTGCATTAGTACTCCCAAAATGAAATACTTAGATATAAATCTAACATAATATGTACGAGATCTGTGAGGAAAACTACAAAACTCTGATGACATCAAAGAAGAATGAAATAAATGGACATATGTAAATAAGAAAATGGATCTACAAAGCTTATTTTTAACAGGGGAAAAGTAACTAAAGTAATCTGGGAAGTGTTTATCCTGTTGTATTTTATATCACTTGGTATATTCTGAAAGGCAATAAAAGTATTCTTGATTTGAGAGCAATATGGGTGCTACTGTGTTGGAGAAATAGCTGAATTTTCTTTCAAAAATGTTTGGAAAATTAAAAATATAAGAATAGCTTAAAATCTAAGACTTCTGACAAAGTTTTTAAAAATCAGTGACATTGAGGGGTTTTATTCTTTCTTTTAAAAATAAACTTGATTTGTTTATAAAATGATGGTGATTTTAAAGAATGTCCTTAGCTGGCAATCTTATATTGGAATCATCAGAGTGTTTTTGTTTTTATTTTGAGAATCTCAGTATTTGATGAATGAAAATTGAAATGCGATTTAAAAAAAAATTGGTCTTTCCTAAACCTACTCCAAATATTCCTTTTTGAATTAGTTAGACAAAGAAAATAAGTTAATCCACCTCGTCTTTATAAAGAAAGTATGTAAGGTGACAGGAAGTACATATTATATAGGTCACTGGTCACTACTCTCACAAAAGATCATCCTCTGGTCTCCATACCAGAGTGATGGTAGCAATGGCCAGATCTCAAAGAAACCAATTATATATTGGCAGAGAGACAGTAGGAAGGGATGGAAAGAACAATCTCTGACTTGGGAAGGAGAATATGGGGACAGTTACAGGAAGCTCCTATGCTGAAGGATTTCCCCTGGAAGAATTCTTGGCTTAAAACTGTATGCTGACACTTTTCAATTAAAAATAGACCCATCTACATTTGACATGGGTTTATTTTTAGCTCATCTCAGAAGTGCAAGTAAGTCCATAAAACACTGGGATAAAACACCTCTGGCCCTGGTCTGAATGATAGTTTTCTAGCTGTCTTCCCAGCAGCTACCTGAAGTCACCCAAAGACTAGATTACAAACTTATTGCTACTGAACTAGGAGGATACTGTAATTTCCTTTGGCCAATTTAGTAAAATGGATTAGTAATTAACAGGCTGGCTTTGTTTTAGAAAGCAGCCTAGAGAGAAGGATCCAAATCCTTTTCTGTCTGACAAAACCCTGTGGAGTCCATAGTTATTACATGCTAGAGAGACAATAATAGTAATAGTTTTAATTCTTACCACTCATTGGGTAACTAGTCTGGGTGATTTGCACATACAGTGTGACACACAAAACAATTCTGTAAAGAGATCATCAGTCTATACTATAGAGGAAAAAACAGAATTTCAAAGAAGTTATGTCACTCAAACACTTCAATTCAAGTTTGACCGACTGCAAAGATTTTGCTATTGCTACTATATTGTGCTGCTTCTCAGCCAGACTCAGGGGAGGGCTATTGAGTTAAGAGTATAGGCAGACAGACTACCCGAATAATAAACATTTTGGGGGTCAATTTTAAATTAAGTAAATGCAGTGTACAAACTAGATGATGAAAATGATAGCTGCTAACATTAATTAAGCACTTGCTATATGCTGGGTAGTCTCTGATTAATGCTTTGCATGTAATTAACCATTTTACCCTTACAGCAACCCTACAAACCAGGTAGGATTAGTGTTTCCATTTTATAGGTCTGTAATATAGGTAAAGAAACTGAGGCACAGAAACATTAAGAACTTGCCTAGTAGTGATGAAACCAGACATTCTGGTTTCAGAACCCCCATTTTTAATCCCTTTACTAAGAACTATGGCAGGCAGGAGTGTTAATCTGGGTGGGAACTGAATCCCTAAAGTTCCTTCAAACAATATGATTGTTGGTACCTTGGATAGAGGTCTAAGTAGAACTGTCCCAATACTTCTCCTGTGGCTTTATCCTTCACAGTGTAAAGTGTAACACTTTTATTCCACACATGAGCATCTGTCACTTGCTCGAATGAAAGTCCCAACAACTCCTGGTAGATGTTTAGCAAGCCTTCAGTGACCACTTCAATTGGGAAGTATTCCTTGAGGATCTCTTGGTCTATGGAGTACTTGAGTTCTTCTGTCTGAGTCATATAGTAATGTAGATCCCAGGCATTGATTGTCCCATCATATTCAAAACCTCTCTCTTCGCATTCCTTTTTCTTCAAATTCAAAATAAACTCTCGTTCTGCCTCACCCAAGGGTTTTAATTTCTGGCTTAAGTCATCTATGAAGGAAGTGGGAAAAATCAATGATTTATTGCTCTTGGAAGCAAGCATGTTCATATATACCACCTGTGTTTTAGCATGGTGCTTTTTCTTTATGGTACTTGATAAACTGAGAGGAGGGAGAGAAGGGAGGGAGAGGTGAAGGGGAGAAAGGAAAGCAGGCTCCATTATGACAGCACTGCTGTTCTCTTCCAGGTAACTGATTTTATGGATCCTTGCCCCTTTTTCTTTTAGCACCATCAAAACCAGGCCAGGACTTTCTCACAGCATCAACAAAGCAATGGTAAAACTAAACTCATGAACACGATTATTCTTCAATGAGGTTAGGCTCCTCAGGAAGGCAGGAAAAATAAATCAAATGTGACCTGTGATCAGTATTACTAAAAAATACACAATGCCTTTGATGGTTATGGGTTTAGTTATCACTATCCATTCCTACAAAGAAAATTGACTTGGACACAGCAATTCCACTTTTTAGATGGATTCCACAATTTATACACTGTGCTCAATTTTTGACTATTTTACTGGTTTTGGCTAAATGAATATGTTCTTATTATGTATTTATTCTTCACAATTTGCTACATATGTAAGATAAACATGTGTTTGGCTCTGTAAGGGCCATGGCAGTGAGGGAGGTAGCCCCAGTGTGTGTGTGAGGTGAGGGCAACAGCCTGAGGAGGGCTGCAAAGGGAAAGGAGGAAACTCACAGAAGATACAAGGATATATTCTCATTAGGCTGGTCAGAAAATACGTGAATACAAGCAGTAAGAGGACGACTCAGGTGGTAACATGCCAATTTTAAATTAGAGGGAAAAGTACCTTAAAGAAATTAAGTTAATCAAGTAGTTATTAAGGAAAAAAACATTCTCACGAAACCCGTTAACTCTTTGAGCCACCATCTTGTATAACATACATCAGAATATATGGCGGTTACCTGTTTACGTCTCTGTTGTTTCCTTTCAGTGTGAAATTCACAGGGTAAAGAACCTCGTCTTATTCCTTTCTATGGTCTTACCATTTAGTGTACTGCTTAATACAGAGTAGTTATTTCATAAATGTCTCATGAATGAATAAATGAATTATAAAATAACAAATAACTACTACTTATGGAGCATCTGCTACATGTCATATCTGATGCCAGCATATACAGTAATACAAGGTATGGCCATTGAGGACATAGTGGAGTAAATCTTGGGCTGAAGGCTGATTTTAACTCAATATTAATCATCTTCAACTCAATTAAGCTAATAACAATATACCAAAGTAACACACTACAAACTTTGACTAGTTGTTAAAGGTGAATAAAGTTTGAAAGGGGTCACTGAGGAAAGTCAAGAAAATCATACTTTGGTAAACTCTGATTAGAGAGGATTACAATGAAAATCACTATCTTTACCATGGCCCTGCTATTCAACCATTTTCACTAGGATGAGAAAGAAAAATGGAGTGACTATTGGAATAGTGACACTCAGATTGAGATGGGGATGGAAAATGATACAGTACCAGTGACTAAATGTCATGGATATAAGAACCATGGTTTTAAAAAGATTAGTGAGAAAGTGCTTTTAAATGATGATACAGTTATAATGGTTTTCGTGCATGTTATTTTATATAGTTCTATATGTAATAAACGGCTTCTGGAATATAAAATGTTTATTTTTTTGTTTATGTATTTTATTTTCATTTATGTTGTATTTGTCAGCTTCTTTCATATGAATTCAGAAGAAGCCATGCTATAACCACCAATCACCTAGTGGCAATGAACAAAGCCAATGGGCTAATAGCCTCTGTTAGGACTCTAGATGTCTTGATAGGCATTAGTATAAAAATTCCAAAGATGCCAGATAGAATAAAGCAGGGATTATAACAGTAATATAAACCATGAGCAAACCTTAGAACCAAACATAGTACCTAACACAAAGTAAGTGATCAATAAATTTCTCTCGAAGGAATGAAAAACAGGATGTCCTAACAGTCATATAAGCTTTTAAGGCCCTCTATCAAGTTGGTATCATGCTGCAAAACAGTCATAGAAAAAGAATGGAAATATACAACTGATTAAACAAAGGAGAACTAACCTAGAAAGGTTGTTACATGGCTTGTACTCTTTGCAGTGTTCATTTCAAGGACAAAGTCAGCATGTGTGCTGTAGCCAAGAAGTTTGGCCACTTTGGTCCGCAGTGGGAGCAGCTGTTGTAGGATTGTAGTGTTTTCCTAGCAATAAACAACAACAAAAACAAACGTTAATAATTAATTAGATCTAAAGCATCAAAGGAGTTTTTCTATGTATTTTTAGGTTGGTGAAACTGTCAAATATTTTTAGACCATTTTAGCTTCTAGAAAATTATTTCATTTCAGTGTTATAGACTTTTTTTAAAATTCATGATCCAATTGTATTTCTGAAATAACTGACTTTTTAAACCTCGGGAGATAGTTATGGAGTCTTAATAAAATTTTAAGTACTGTAAACTTACAGTAAAAATGTACTCTTAAGGACTACAGTGATTCTACATTTAGTCTCATTGACTGGACTCCATCAAACATTGGCACCTAAATTTTTTTTCTCATTGTGGTAACATATACATATCACAAAATTTGCCACTTTACTTTCACACTCATTAGTATGGCTATTATCAAAAAATAGAAAATAGTAAATGCTGATGAGGGTGTGGAGAATTTAGAATCTTTGTGCATTGCTGATGGAAGTGTGAAATGGTGTAGCTCCTGTGGAAAACAGTACTGAGATTCCTCAAAAAAAAAAACAAAAAAAACAAACAAACAAAAAAAAAACAAAAAAATTACCATATGATCCAGCAATTCCACTTCTGGGCATAGATCCCAAAGAGGTAGAAGCAGAGACTCAAACAAATATTTGCACATCCGTGTTCACTGCAGCATTATGTGAATTACAGCTAAGTGGTAGAAGCAACCCAAATGTCCACCAGTGAGTAAAAGGATAAAGAAAATGTAGATTTGTACATACCATGGAATATTATTCAGCCTTAAAAGGAAAGAAATTTTGACACATACTAAAACATGGATAAATCTTGAAAACATCATGCTAAGTGAAATAAGCCAGTCACAAAAGGATAAATACTACATAATTCCACTTGCATGAGGTTCCTAGAGTCAAATTCATAGGGACAGAAAGTAGAATGGTAAATTCCAGGGACTAGGGGTAGGGGGAATGGGGAGTTAGTGTTTAATGGGTAAAGAGTTTCAGCTGGGAAAGATGAAAAAGTCTGGAGATGGACGGTGGTGATGTCTGCATAACAACGTGAATGTACTTAATACAGCAGATCTCTGTACTTAAAAATGTTTCAGGGATTGATCTCAAATTATTACAAACACTTTCTGCATTATATTTGTATTAAAAATATGAATAATGATATTGCCTTATTGTCTTTTTAACCAATAAGATGAAAAGTAAATAAATGCTGAGGTCAAAGAAAAATACTCCCGATGATTAAATCAGCAAATTATAGACCTATTTCTAAGGGAGCTCCCACACCAAGGTCAGACTACCTGGGTTCAAAACTTGGCTCCATCGTTTACTAGTCCGACTGTTGGCAAGTCCCTTAAGCTTTCTATGCCTCAGTTTTCTTATCTGTAAGATACGAATAATAAAAGTAGCTAAGTCATAGGGTGATAATGAAGATTCAAAGAAAAATGTATGTAAAGTGCACAGAAAAGTGCTCAGTACAAGAGCAAGCACTATGCAATCATCTGTTTTAATTATTATTACTTTAAAACTAGAATGGAAACATGGATAAGAAAAACATAGTATAATTCTCTAAGGTCTAAAATTATCTAGTTTGAGTTTTTCTTTCACCTTTTTCAGTTTCCCTAGACCTTCTCCCCAGACTGCCAATTTTCTCCCAATATCTATTCCCCTATTATTCCTCCTAGTCTAGAATTTTCTGAGTTTTTGCAGCACTCATGGTCGCCTGACTCCCTTTCCCAGACTTCCCTAAGCTAGCTGTATGCACATGATACACAATGGGCCAGTGGAATGTGAATGAGGTGATGAGTGAAATTTCTAGGTCATTTCTTTTTTTATTTTATTTTATTTTTTTAAATTATTTATTTATTCCCCTCCCCACATCTACTGCCCTCCACTCCCCTCCCCGCCCCAATCCTCTGGTAACTACCAGTCTATTGTCCGTGTCCATGAGTCTCTGTTTGTTGTACTGTTCATTTGTTGCTTTTAGGTTTATATCCCACATATAAGTGATATCATGTGATTTTCAACTTTTTCATTCTGGCTTATTTCGCTTAGCATGATTATCTTGAGGTCCATCCACGTTGTCACAAATGGCAGTATTTCCTCTCTTCTTATGGCTGACTAATATTCCACTGTATATATGTACCACAGCTTTTTTAGCCAATCATCTATCATAGGACACTTCGGTTGCTCCCATGTCCTGGCCACTGTGAATAATGCTGCTATGAACATCGGTGTGCAAATATCTTTTCGGATATGAGTTTTCAAGTCTTTGGGGTAAATACTCAGTAGAGAGATTGCTAGATAATATGGTAGATCAATTCTTAGTTTTTTGAGGAAACTTCCATACTGTTTTCCATACTGGCTGTACCAATTTGCAGTCCCACCAACAGTATATGAGGGTTCCTTTTCCTCCCCATCCTCGGTTTTGATTTGCATTTCCCTAATAGCTAGGGATGATAAGCATTTTTTCATATGTTTGCTGGCCATTTATATGTCTTCTTGGGAGAAGTGTCTGTTCAGGTCCTCTGCCCATTTTTTGTTTGGATTATTTGTCTGGGTCATTTTTTGCAGATGCTTGTCCCGCTAGCTGTGAACTGAAGTTAACAACGATGACCCTGGAAGCCACATACTAAGGATGGCAGAGCTGTCCTCCAGCTCTGGATCACTCACTTCTACATTGTTAGTGGCAAGAGAAAGAAACTTTTTTTTAAAAAATTGTGGTTAAACATAAATAACATAAGATATGCCATTTTAAGCATTTTTAGTGTGCAATTCTGTAGCACTAATTACATTCACACTGTTGTGCAACCATTACCACTATTTGTTTCCAAAACTTTTCTAACACCCCAAACAGAAACCTGGTAACCATTAAGTAATAATTCCCCAGTTTCCTCAGCCCCGGGCAACCATTAATTCTTTCTGAAGAGATATTTTTATCTTATTTGAGTCACTGTGCTCTGGTTAGCACAGTAACGTTTGTATAGTGGCATAACCTGTACCTTCATACCCACAGAGAATGATAAGCAATCAGGTGCTGCTATAACAAAAATGGAAAATACACAGAAATGGAAGGTGGATACAAGACACTGCAGGCTGGGAAGCTGGTAATCTTCACTACGTCAGGGATAACATTTGTTAAAACTGTTGCTGCCATAACTTGGAAAGCAGGCCAATTACCTACTGAGTCTTGGCTGCTGGGGAATTCTTTGAGAAAACTAATAATGTTGGTGTATGTTTGTTGGTATTTGTTGCTTTTAGAAAGATTACCTGAGGGAGATGAGCTCAGGTGAGAACTGGTCAATTTGCAAAGATGGAAGGAAGAGTTCTGCTCAGAGAGGTTCTGCCTGTGGCCCACAATCCGGGGCTTTGGGTTGCTGGAAAAGCCAATTGCCCCTGCACTCCTCACATCTGGAGGAAATTCTGTCACTCAGAGTTACTGAACCATGGAAATTTGTTTGAGTATGCTGCCTTCTTTCTCAAACCTACTACTTCAGGGGCCCTGAAGCGGACTCCGGCCAGTATAGAAGAAAAGATTTGGTAAGTTTAAGAACCATGACCAAAAGTGATCTTTGGGTGCAGTTATTTTAACATGAATCTGATGGAAGCAAACAAACAAAAAACCTATCGAGTTTTTTTTTGTGGGATTTTATTACCAAAGACATCAGAAGCCTGGCCTACAAAAGCTTGTGATTATTTGATCCCTAAAGCAATCCTCAGGCTTCAAATTGGCATCAGCAGGA